ACTGTTATCAACCTCTCGACTCGTAACCTAACTTCGAATCGAATTTCTCAACATTGGTAACGGTGATTATAATAGCTCAATCGAATTTCTCAACTTTGGCCCGTTACATATCATCGTCATCCTCACGGTTTACATCTACTATGGATAGAGTCTATCCTACTCCGTCTTCGACTCTCTCCATAGTAGGCGTGTTTTGATTGTAGTGGCCTTGAACGGTTACAAATGGTATCAGAGCCAAACATCAGGCTGTGTGCTAACGAGGACATTGAGTCCTAAAGGGAGCGTGAAAAAGCTCTCCCTAACATACGCGTTTTAAGAAATCACGAGACTGACAACAATGCATAACAAGTCAAAACTGACAATGTCTTCTAGTAATGGACTTAGACCGTTAAAGTGAGATGTTAGCTTTCTTTGGGCGGCGAGCTGATTGAGCACATGGGTGTGGTCGGTAATAATACTAATAGGTTTGTTCTATTCAACTATTACTCCAAATTCAAGTTCTCACACACTCTTCTTAGGACTTTCCAGCTTTCCCACTTAGAATGCAAAGTTTTGAGGGTGATTTAGAATGAGATATTGAGGGGAGAGGAGTCCAAGAAAAAGAGAGCTTTGTAGAGATGGGTTTGCATTGAGAATGGAGAAACCCCAAAGTTGAAGGCTTCGAGATAGCTCTGTTGTGTGCAGTGCAGGAACTCACCGACCAAGACAACTCAATTATTATTATATATATAGATATTAAACCAAGCCAACCCATGTGTGACATTAATTAAACATATGAATGTACCCATCATCACATAAACGCAAAGCTATGAAAGAAAAAGAAGAATATGGTACAAAGGAAAGAAGCAGAAAATTGGGTATTATAATGCAACGCCCTGCACTGATGCCAACCCCTTTCATCTTTGTATGCAGTGCACGAACTCCTCCACGAAACACAAACAAAGTGGCAAAAAAGGCATTTACATGGAGGACAACCCCTTTTTCTTACTGGGTTTCAAACTTGAATATCATTCAGTGTGATGTGATTGTACGAAATCATGGTGTGAGTATCAAATTCATGAATGGTCTGTGATGTGGGCTTGGTGATGGGTCGATCAAACGAGTGAGGGATTTAGGCCAACACCACTGTGGCTTATGAGCCATCATGAAGGAGGAACCATTAATTATAAATAGCAATCCCCATTTTAGCCTTTTCTTTTTGTGTACTATTAACATCAAACCCATTCTTCTAATAATGTGTCACCCATCAATTCATTGTAACATAAAGTTAATTTTCATAAACTAGTTTATGTTTGTAATATTATAATAAGCTCAATTATTAGTAGCTTAATTAATATATTCCCCAATCGTATTTTTATTTTCTGATATGGTTAGTATGTACTTATCAATCGAATAATATTTATTTAATCCAACTTATGACTATAAATCATTAAATATTATTCTAATATTGTTAATATGTACTTGTCAATCTTGTATCTTTATATATATATATATATATATTAATTCTTTAAATGTGAAGAATGGTTGTAGTATGATATTTTGTTGGATTTGTTGCATAGTTGACCAGGGAGCCCAACATGAAGGTTGGAGCCCAAGCCCAATTCATGGTTGCTAACCGGCCCAATAAGCCTTCTAGCTCATCAAATCATGTTCCACATCTTATGAATTAAAATATTATGAATTAATGATGTAGTGATAAATTTAGAATTATAGTTGTCTACCATGCATTTTATAATTTTGTTAAAAAAATAATATTATTTTAAAAAACAAAACACTCTCGAAGATTGTCAGAGTCTCACGTTAGCTAATTCGAAGGAAGATAATTGGTATATAAGTGAAAGACATTATTTTGATTGGTACGAGACATTTTGGAGAAACCAAATGCAAAATCATGAGAACTTATGCTTAAAGTAAACAATATCACACCGTGTCGTTTTTTCTAACATTGAATTAGGGTCAATAGAATCTTCAGGTGTCAAACAAAGAAGTTGTGAATCTTGAAGATATAGTCATACTGAATCAAGCATTGAACAAATAGTGTATTTTGTTCAAGGGCTCTAGAGGAGTCGAGCCTCAATTAAGAAAAGAGATTGAAAGTCATATTTGATATGAAGCTGTCATAGCACTTATCTTCATTCAATTGTTGAAATGAATCAATCCTATTTTCCTTTCATTGTACCTCTGCTTAAGACAAACCAACACACCATAGTAAGAATGAGAAACAAAAGTGAGATCGAAAGTCCACCATGTTAAGAATAAGAAACCGAAGTTAAGAATGAAAAACATGAGTGAGTTGAAAATTAAATCTTCATTCATGTGTTCCCGATGTTTAAATAGAACACAAGCTACAAGCTACCAACAAACTCAGGATAAGATAAGTCGGAAGTATCTTAAATTAAATATATAAAATATATTTCATAACTCTTAAATCAAATTTGATAAACCAGAAGAACACAAAAGAAACAAGCGGTTTAGATCAAAATGTATAAACTATTTGATATATATAATAGTGAGGTGGTTAGAAAAGGAAAGGAGAAGAAGAAAAGGAGGAGGGGGTGTAAGCCATTGATTGCGGCTGCAGCATCATCAAGATTCTCATATCCATGGCACCCAAAAGGGGGCAGCTTGTGAATCTTAATGATACTGCAGCTGCAAGCAGTGGCTGTGGGAAAGCGCCAGTTTTTGGAATAATAATAAAACAAAGAAGGAAGAGTAAGGTGGCGGTGGTGGTGGTGAGAGAGAAGGGTTTGGAATGTTACTATATATAGAGATGTTGTGGAGGCGGAGGAGGAGGAGGAGCAGCAGGGTTTGTGATCTAAAAGTGGAAGAGAAACACAAGGAACAGTTATGTATCGCGATCCTAGGTACAGCATTTACCAACATATCTAATCCTCCTCTCATGAGCCACGCCCAGGTTTCTTTATCTAGGTTCAACGATTTGTTGCGTCCTCCAAAAGGTCTTCTCAACCGGAGGCTCAAGGATTTGACACTTTGACACACCCTCAATGCTATCATGACCCACACCATTCCTTCGTGATATCATGTTAAGAATCACGAACCCTCTACAATGTATTCCTTACTTATAAACTCATGATCATTATCCTAGTACATACATGAATTTGTAATGTAATAATGTGAAAGCATTATGAATTTGTAATGTAATGCAAAGTAATGTAGTGTAAGGTTGAAGACAGGAAGGGGAGGTGGGAGCGGGAGCCACAATCACGTCCCCCTTCGTACGCCCATCTGCCCCTTGTTCTCACATTTTCAAGTTGCCTATTGTCCTTTCCATTCACCATTAATTTCTTTCTCCTTTTACTTTACTTTTATCGCATCTCGCATCAGTTAGAGAGAGGAATGTAGACCATAACTTATTAACAAAGGATTTTATTCGTTATGATAGGATGATCGAAAACGAGGATGAACTGAAACATGGGTTTGTGAGAAGGAGATTCATAAGTTATTAAAAATTGGATCTTTATAATCGTGAGAAAGAAAGAAAGAAAAGAGAAATGGTTGCACAATAATGAGAGAATGGCAATGATAATCGCCCTGCGCCAACTGGGAATACGAAAAGGGTACCCTACAAATGCTTTGCATCTTCCACACATCCCTTTCATTGTGGGGTTAGGCAGGCCTACAATTTGATGAGCTAGCTTCTCATAAAACCAATGCAAAAATGGTAATGATATTAAACGCCAATACACGGCATTTGTTTTTCCATGTAAGAATCTAAGTCAGCCAGTCAGGTACCTGAGCTTAGGTAGCAGTAAAAAAAGGTGTTGTGAAGATATAATACCCCAGAAATCTCGCTTACTCAAACCCCTTACTTCAATTGGAAACTCTCTCAGTACATGCTTCCCCCTTACGCCTTTCCCATTTCACACATCATGTAAAACAATATGAACTAAGATATATAGATAGGTTTATTAGCAACAGTGGAAGAATATTGTCAATGAGGGAAACCACCTGAAAGTTTGAAAATTTGTGGAATCCAATGCACAAGTGTGTGTAAATAGGAGATTCACACTAACTCAGAGATGCCCCAAACCACTAGAGAGGATTGATTAGTACATGGGGGCAGTGCCCTTTTTTCATGGATTCCTGCCTCCTCCTCCTCTTACTCCTCTTTCCCACCACGTACAATAATTCTGCCTCGAACCATACTCGTTTTTGTATCTCTGAATATCACTTCTGATCGAAAATTTTACATTGTTAGATGTAGAAATGTAGAAACAAGGAGTGAAAACTTGAAACTGGGGTGAGGAGTGATGATGAGTGTGAGTTGTTGGGGAATAGTGTAGGGTATATGGTTGGGAAATGATGGTGTGATGAGATGAGATGATGAGAGGGGCAATTTGAGTGTGAGAAGAAAAAGTTCGAAAATAATGATAATAATTTGGTGAAAAGAGGGGTCATGCATGCATAGAGTAAACAGGAGCCAACGTCCCTACTACATCTGCACAACATGGCCACCGTCCCCACTATGCTTCAAAATCACACACACCACATAAATACGTATGCATTCTAGGTTAAACTTCAACTACTAGCTTGGTTCAGCTGGAATGATTCTCCTTGTAATATCAAACTTTTGGTTATCTTTGTATTAGTATGTTGTGTTTGGACTTCTTACATATGATATGGTGGATTGTTAGATTGTGAGATCCCACATTGATAATAGAGTGAAACGAATTGAATCATTCCGAATCATTCCTTACTAGTGTGGAAACGTCTTCCTTGTGGTGGGGGATTGTGAGATCCCACATTATTGTAGAGGGAAACAAATCGAATCATTCCTTATAAGAGTGTGGAAACATCTCCTAGTAGTGGGAGATTGTGAGATCCCACATTGATTGCGGAACGAATCATTCATTACAAGAGTGTGGAAACCTCTCCCTAGCAGTGGGGTGGATTGTGAGATCCCACGTTGATTCGAGAATGGAACGAATCATTCATTATAAGGGTATTTGAGTGGTTACGTAAAAGACCTAAAAGAAGATAATTATATTCTCTTCGGAGTTGAGCTGGGTTTGATTTGTCAATGTCGAGTCCATAAATTAGTCCATTCATATGATTTTCATACAATATATTCATGATCATCTCAAAGCAGCTATGTGAGCATTTAATGCAGCCAAAAGATACAAACTTTATGAGCTTTTCATGAAATTTTCAGCAAGTAAAAAAAAGGGGTTTGTTCATGAGCTGGGGTCCATAAGTGGCAGATCCATATGAACTCACTCGCCACACAACATCATCATTCATCTCTTTTTGCTAAAACCTGGTGAAACCCTAAAAGAAGGAAATTAGAATCAGATTAAACAAAGTTCAAAACAAAAACCCAGTTGAAAGATCCATGAGAGGAAAAAGGCAGTGTGAAAGGAATAATGGTACCTGCAAATATATCTGAAAAGCTTACACTTACCCAACCATGAACAAATCAAAATGGTGTAAGGCTGATGGTGATGATGATGATGATGGAGGTAACAAAAGAACCTGAAAAAGCAACACATTAATCAACTTATTTTATTTCTCTTCTCTTATGCTACCAAATGGGTAGGAAAGTAGACACATTTCTAGGCCTCCACCATGAGAAAGATCAAAAAATGTGCACAACAACCCTTAACATAACAAAAGCACTCAAAATTGAAGAAGGGTGTTATAGAGCCATTGATGGCGACTGCAGCATCATCAAGATTCTCAAATGTCAAGGGGGTTGGAGCCAGGAGACCCCAACAAGATGACCCAAAAAGGGTGTGAATCTTGAAGATGCAGCAACCGCTAACAATGGCTGATGACTCTGACCCAATAGAACAGGAGAGAGGTGTAGGGTTTAAGAGAAGAGAAGAGAAGAAAGGGTATATATAGAGTTCCAATGAGGAAGAAGGGTTTGTTTGGTGTCATTTTTTTATTTAAGAAAATGAGAGAGAAAATGATGTAGGTTGAACTACAACGGTTAGGCATCGTAATCATAGGTACCAGATTTACCAAAGCCTTTAATCCCCTCTGACCCCTTCTTCCTTCCACACATGTCAATGCAATTATAAAAGGAAACCCTTCCACATTTCATCAATATAAAACTATCCAAAAATGGATTACGCTCTTCCTATCATTAATCACTCAAATGGACATGTTACCAATTCAAAGTTTTCAAAGCTTTGAACTTTTGGCCGGGACTACGTTGTTTATGTCGATTAAGCCCGACCCATTAAAGATTAGGGGATGGAAAGAGGAGGAGAGAGTTGGATAATTGTGTGGTTGAGGGGTTAGGGTGTCCTTTGAAATGGAGGGGGGGACGGGTCCGAATTGACATGACCCTGACCCAGCCATGAACCATGAGGTACACACTTCAATTTCCTCTTTTCTCTCCTTTAAAGTAAATACCCTTTTCCATCTTACTTCTCCTCCTCGTCGTCGAGTAAATGAGAGATATATGAATAAACTAATATAATATTATTACATAGTTGTAGAGAGGTGAAATTAGAAAATGGGGTATCGTCACATGACATGATAGGCGCCTTACCATCACATGATTTTCTTGGTACAACATGAACACTTTGGTAGTATTTCGTAGAGATATTCATACCCTAACAAAAAGTGTAATCTTTTGAGGTAGAACAACATGATTTATGAAACATTTTTTAATTGAAGTATAGGAAAAAAAAAAAAAAAACATATATGTGATAAAGTATGGTCTTAGAAATCTTTGGGCATCATGTCACATGATTTTGTTGTCCTCTTTTTCAATGATTTTATGAAAAAATATTCTTTTACGATACTAGTAAATATTCTTTCTATTTTTATTAGAGTCAATTTGAGCATAGTTTAACCGCTCAAAATATTATATTTGAATTTTTACTAGTAAATGTAGGAAACCGTCATTCTCGAGTAGGGGACCGTCATTGATGATCTTTATTCATCATCTCACTCTATACCATATTTGGAAATTAAAGATCTTTGAAAATACAATTGGTACCTTTATCTCTTTAGGATGTTATTCCCCTTCCCATTTTAGAGAATAAAGATTTGAAAAATCCCTCTAATTCAACTAAGAATATTCTTTTCGGGTAAAAATCGCAACACTTTTTTAGATTTAAAGTAGAGCGGATGGAGTTTGAAACTAGATCACGAGTTTTTCCAACACAATTAACAAAACATCATATAATTGCTTGAATTAAGGTTATGTGTCACCCAAATTTTTTTCACCTAACTAAGGTTGTCAAGTAGCTCTCAAATCAAACTGACAAAAAGAAAAAGAAAAAAAAAAGCAATTATATTTGAATCGTACATGATGCCCTTTACAAGAACACACTATAGAACAATTAAGATTGGAAAAGGAAAAAGAATCATGAACGTATCTGATTGAAAGGATGTAAGTTATTAGAGATGGAACCACCAAATAACCCAACAATCAATGGAGTGAATCAAAAACTAAGGAATTTTAAATGTTTGGAATCGGTTAGAATATTAAACAAAAAGTGGAACATGTCGGAAAATCCTTCTTTTACATTTAATTTACATGTTGTTGTACCGTAATGTCACAATATTAACGCGGTTGATTCATGAATAGAAGTGGAGAATGTACCAAAAGTATTCATGAACTAAATCTTGATGACAATTTTCAACAAGTTTATGGAAAAACTCAATACCCATAGTGTAAAACGGTTTGTTCCTCGGCGGTGGAATCCGGGAGCCAGTGTGCTCGGCGCGGTACAGCCTGTATTAAACAAAAGCATAGTCTAAAATGATTACTCATATGAATCCACATTTGAATGATTAATTAAGAGTTTATAATAAGATCTAGTAGTTTAAAATGTGGGGAAATGCGATTTTGAAGAATGGGCTTTCCGGCTACTTTTGGGCCAGACCAGTAACGAAATGGGCTTATCCCATTGGGCCCAAAGCCGAGCTAGCGTACTCTGTACAAGCCGATCAAGCCAGCTAAGCGAGAGCTTGGATTATACACATTACCGTTGCGAACTTTCCAAAAAGAACCCCAAATCTTAAAATATTTATGAAATTTTCAAAAAAATAAATTTGTATTTTTTTATTTTTATTTTATTTTTTTCCTTTTCAGCCCGCTCCCCCTCTGTATATAATAAATCGTACCAAAATTTGACCGTTATCTCTTCCAAACTGTGATCAGAAACAAAGAAGAAGCCCACTCTGTTTGCAGAGAAGAGAAGAGAAAGAAAAACAGAGGAGACTCCTTATTGGTTTTCTCTGTTGTATTGAAATTATCAGTCCTCTTAGTGATTTTCCCTTTCTTTCTTAGAACGAAGGAAGAAGAAAGAGCAGAAAATGGATTCACCTCAAGCGAAAAGAAGTGGGTTAAATCTTCCAGCTGGAATGGCTGAAAGGTCGCTTCGGCTCGAGTCGTCTTCGGGTTCTTTTCGAGCGATATCGAGCTTGTCGTCACCTTCGAAAACCTCGACTTGCAGTGATAGATTCATACCGTGTAGATCGTCGTCGAGGCTACACACATTTGGGCTGATTGAAAAGGGTTCCCCTGTGAAAGAGGGCGCAAATGAGGCGTATTCCAGGTTGTTGAAATCGGAGCTTTTTGGATCTGACTTTGGTTCTTTTTCCCCTGCAGGTTCACAAGGCCAAGGGTCGCCTATGAGCCCCAGCAAGAACATGCTGAGGTTCAAGACTGAACATTCTACCCCAAATTCCCCTTCTATTTTCGGTCAAGATGCGGGGTATTCCTCTGAAACCTCGACCCCTCCAAAGCCACCTCGAAAGGTTCCCAAGACCCCACATAAGGTTTCCTTTTGAACTCTTTAAAATCTGCTCTCCTTTGATGTGGAAAGAAAGACGTATTCAGGTTCCTCCTTGATTCTGCTGCAGGTTCTGGATGCTCCATCGCTTCAAGATGATTTTTACTTGAATCTTGTGGATTGGTCCTCACAGAATACATTGGCTGTGGGACTTGGAACTTGTGTTTACTTATGGAGTGCATCAAATTGCAAGGTGGGTTTACTTCACAGATCAACCCGTATTATATCAATTTTGTTTACCCATTCTCATGGTGTGTTTGTTTATTCCATTTTCAGGTGACTAAGTTATGTGATTTGGGACCCAATGATGGTGTATGCTCAGTCCAATGGACCAGAGAGGGTTCCTACATATCGATTGGAACCAATCTTGGTCAAGTTCAGGTACATAAAAGAACATAAAGATTGGTGTTGAGCTCGTGTTTCAGGAAAAAAAAATCATATCTTTTCATATTGTTCCATTGTAATGAATAGATATGGGATGGAAGTCAGTGCAAGAAAGTTAGAACCATGGGAGGACATCAAACAAGAACAGGTGTTTTGTCGTGGAATTCTCGGATTTTAGCTTCTGGAAGCAGAGACCGTAACATTCTTCAACATGATCTCCGGGTTTCTAGTGAGTTTGTGAACAAGCTCGTCGGCCATAAATCTGAGGTGAGAATGAGAAAATTTCCCTGCAGATTGAATAACTGGACTTTGGAAGCTTTTATCAATTCCTGTAAGCACTACTGCAGGTTTGTGGACTTAAATGGTCAAACGATGACAGAGAGCTTGCCTCCGGTGGAAATGACAATCAGGTATAGATAGATATATAGATATCCATCCTGCAAAGAGGCCTCTTTCTTTGATCTGATCATTTAATAACACGAGATTTTTTGTTGGGTATCAATAGCTTTTGGTATGGAATCAGCATTCTCAGCAGCCTGTGTTGAGACTAACTGAGCACACAGCAGCTGTTAAGGCCATTGCTTGGTCACCCCACCAGAGTGGTCTTCTTGCATCAGGTGGTGGAACTGCTGATCGATGCATTCGTTTCTGGAACACTGCAAATGGACACCAGTTGGAGTGTGTCGACACTGGAAGCCAGGTTTTTCCTTGAGCCCTGTGAAGAATTGTAATCATGGGTGTTAGTTTGTTTTTACCACAACTTCAACTTGATAAAACTGTCAAATTTTGTTCAGGTTTGCAATCTTGCATGGAGTAAAAATGTTAATGAACTTGTGAGCACACATGGGTATTCCCAGAACCAGATTATGGTGTGGAAGTATCCATCAATGGGAAAGGTTTGTTTTCTAACATAATTCCAGGAAGATAAATGTAAATTCTCAGCCTTAGATATGTTAACTTTTTCCTTCCTCAATCAATAGGTTGCTACACTAACTGGACATACAATGAGGGTGTTGTACCTTGCAATGTCTCCCGACGGTCAGGTATTTGAATATGCTTTTAATGCTACTTGTTTCATATCGATGGCCTCTTTTAGAGTCTCATAAATGGCCTCTTGCAGACAATTGTAACAGGTGCAGGAGATGAAACTCTTCGTTTCTGGAATATCTTCCCATCAATGAAAACACAGGTAAATAAGAAGATATGGTTACTTTATTTACAAGAACTTACAGATTCTTCTTTAGCTTGCGCAAACACTTAATGTTTGTGTCTGTCTGCCTCTGGTTTGGTTTTTCAGACACCAGTCAGAGATACGGGCCTGTGGTCTCTGGGACGAACGCAAATTCGGTGACAAAATTCTCACATAGGATGCTAATTTTATTGATTCTCTCATTCATAATTCATATTTGTAAATGCTGCAGTTTGATATGTGATTGTGTGCAGTCTCTGCAATTCTTTCCACGCACGTAAAGTATGTGTTGTGTGCAAGAGAGTAGTCTGAGTGACATGTTGAACAGAGAATTATTTTGATTCAGATATGTCTAGATAGTGTATGAGAATAAGAGTACTTTTGTTTTTTATCAACACAATTTCAATGAAAACCACATTTTTATCAAACACAATTTCAATGAAAGCCACATTTCTAACTAGAGAGCAGTGCATTGGTTCACCCAATCTCAACAAATGTTGTTATATATAGCAAACAAACTTATCTAATCAACAAATCTCGCAAGTAATTCGCATTGCAACTAGTGAAAAAAACGTAGTCACTCCAGTGACAGTCAAGTCTGGTCGAGGTTTCTAAGTGGGTTCGAGAACTCCCCAATCTCAACAAATGTTGTTATATATAGCAAACAAACTTATCTAATCAACAAATCTCGCAAGTAATTCGCATTGCAACTAGTGAAAAAAACGTAGTCACTCCAGTGACAGTCAAGTCTGGTCGAGGTTTCTAAGTGGGTTCGAGAACTCCCCAATCTCAACAAATGTTGTTATATATAGCAAACAAACTTATCTAATCAACAAATCTCGCAAGTAATTCGCATTGCAACTAGTGAAAAAAACGTAGTCACTCCAGTGACAGTCAAGTCTGGTCGAGGTTTCTAAGTGGGTTCGAGAACTCCCCAATCTCAACAAATGTTGTTATATATAGCAAACAAACTTATCTAATCAACAAATCTCGCAAGTAATTCGCATTGCAACTAGTGAAAAAAACGTAGTCACTCCAGTGACAGTCAAGTCTGGTCGAGGTTTCTAATTGGGTTCGAGAACTCCCCAATCTCAACAAATGTTGTTATATAATCAACAAATGTTGTTATATAGCAAACAAACTTATCTAATCAACAAATCTCGCAAGTAATTCGCATTGCAACTAGTGAAAAAAACGTAGTCACTCCAGTGACAGTCAAGTCTGGTCGAGGTTTCTAAGTGGGTTCGAGAACTCCCCAATCTCAACAAATGTTGTTATATAGCAAACAAACTTATCTAATCAACAAATCTCGCAAGTAATTCGCATTGCAACTAGTGAAAAAAACGTAGTCACTCCAGTGACAGTCAAGTCTGGTCGAGGTTTCTAAGTGGGTTCGAGAACTCCCCTACAAATCTAAAATTACCTTCTTTGATTGGTTGATATTTGGATCTTCGAAGGACTCTGGCATTGGCTCGCATCCCATATACTAGTTGTAAATGGAGTACGGTGTTGCAGTCAGCTCAAATTTTGAAATTTTGTCTTTGCCTGCAAGCTTTGACATATAAGATAAATCTCTCTGGATGACGATCTAGTAGCCTTAGGCCTCAACCAAGATGCCTTTCTGAAGAGGGGCTTCAACATCCGGCTGAATTCTGGGATAAAGAATGTAAAGATAAACCAAATATAATCTACAAACGAACTATAGTGTTCTTATGTGGAAATAAAATCCTACCTTGGGTATCTTCACTCTCCAAAAGTTTTATAACGAGGTGGCCTCCTTTTTGCAGCACGCCATCGTAATCTGAGACTAAAGCTGAATCATCCACATTGTCCTCCTTGTTCTTCCCATGCATAACATCATCTCCATGACTTAATGCAGCTTCTCCGAGAGCCAAATTAACTGCCTGCATCCCTAATTCGACTGATAAACTTGCATCTCTAGTGGTGATTCCCGAAACCAAGGGGCACATATCGGAGAGTATTACAGAGAATCCTTTCTCCTACAGAACCAAGCAATAAACAGGATTTAGATTTAGACAGTGTGACTTGTTTTCTGCAACTTGGAAACTTTCCTTGCCCAGCCACTCCACATTCATACTCCTCGCATACAGGAGTGATATGTTTATGTTTTTCTAAACAAACTTTAATTTTCTAAGCTACAGAGCAAATATCATATCCCCTAAACCATACAATTGCACAAAGCTTGCACTTCCATTGAATGCTATCAAATATGGTTTGTGCAAAAACATAGAGAAGGTGATTGGGTGATATTAATAACGCCATTCAAAGAGGAGATCATGCTTGTACAGGAATATTACCGGTGAACCAATTGAGCTATGTTAATGACATTGGTATAAATAATACTATAAGAAATTTCCGATCTTTTATATGTCCAGTTACCTTAGGAGATAGTGCCTTCAATTTGTTTTTGGGAAGGTTCATTACATCAGCACAAACAGTTTGAACCCTTGAGTCACAATGCACATGAGGAACTTTTACCTTCTGTTCTGCAAGACCCACATTTCTTGTTATATACATTACTACTAGCTGAAAAATGAGTTCAGCAAATTGACATCACAATTAAGTAACCCAGAAGAAGATAAACAGTTCACCTTGAGATCAATACCCACGACAGAGCCTCCATTTTTCAGAGGCCCCAGACTCTGGCATGCTACCTAAATTCAAATGGCATAATCAATACATTTCACCCCAAAAAGAAAATATTTGCGAAGTCAAAAGGACACAAAATTTGTGGAATGGATGTGAAGGATGCAGTATTGAGACCTGAAGCCAGGCACCGGGAGCACAACCAAGGTCCAAAACGGAGGAGCCTGAAGTAATCAATTTGAATTGCTTCTGAATCTGAAGCAACTGTCGATAAACACATCTAATTAAGATTGGCGAAGCTTGAAGGTTCTAAGGAGGCGGAAAAACAGTGAGACGAAGGGTTTTTACCTTGAAGGCGGATCTTGCGACATAGCCAAGACGTTGAGCTTCTCTGTAGAAGAAATCGGGTGCTCCGGCTCCACTCATTTCTTTCTTCCCCTAATTCTTGGGAAAGCTCCAAAATCTATCTGTATCTAAACCCCTTCTCTAGGGTTTTAGACTTTCAGATACCAAGGTTCGAACTTCCAATGCGGGAGCGGTAGGGACGACACGACCAGGGGATGCGGAATTTTAATTTTGCAAATAATAAAATAATCCGAATTTTTTAATTTACAGATAATTTTTAAATTTTTTAAAATTCATTCATTTTTTTTTTTTTTTTAATTTAAAATTTGAAAACATATAGACCTCAAATATATTCAACTTGTATGTGGCTAATAAAAATATCTATTTTACCATTTATTCGACCAACAATATTAATAGTTATAATAAATTCAACTCCTCAACATTTTTTTTTTTTATGTCTCTCCATATATTAATTATTTGCCTTTTGCATTATTTATTTATTTCACGGAATTTGAAATTGCATGTGTAAAGCATAAATAATTTAATTTTCTGGAACAGAAAGAAAGTTTAGGTTTGGGATGGCAAAAATAATTCACATAATCACATGTGGAAGTCAAACTAATCTAGTAGGTTGGTGAATTGTCGTTGGGAAGAAATAAAACTAAAAAGAAAACCCCTTCCCCTCGATGACGTGGACGATCTCATAGATCTGGTTGGTGGATTGATTAAACGGTTTGCCACGTCACTCAATAATCCTTTATGTTAAACCCGTAAAGCGCACCGTCTTGTGCCGTCCCAACCGCGCCCAATTCAACTCCCCCCCCCCTGCCACCTATTTTGTTCTTTTATTTCTCTAAAAAAAAGAAGAAAAAAACCATAATTTAATTTCTTCATATAAATACCCCTTCGCCCTCTTCGTCTTCCTCAGAGTAAAATCCTCCACTCCTCTCTGTAATGGCGGCAACTGTTTCAACAGCATTGCTCTCTTTCTTGCTAATAATGTCGTTGGCCGTGGAATGCAGAGAACATAAGGGAGTTTACGGCGGCGGCCCTTGGCAGAGCGCCCACGCCACATTCTACGGCGGCAATGACGCCTCCGGCACTATGGGTATTCAAACTTCAATTTCTTTTTCAGTTAATTTAATTAATTTTTTTTTAATCGTATTAATACTTTAGGTATGGTTGCAGGGGGGGCGTGTGGTTACGGCAACTTATACAGCCAGGGGTACGGCGTGAACACGGCAGCATTGAGCACAGCTCTGTTCAACGACGGGTCCAGCTGTGGAGCTTGTTTCGAAATCAAGTGCGTGAATGACCCACAATGGTGCCACGCTGGAAACCCCTCGATTTTCGTGACAGCCACCAACTTTTGTCCTCCCAATTATGCACTCCCTAATGACAACGGCGGGTGGTGCAATCCTCCTCGCCCTCACTTCGACCTGTCCATGCCCATGTTCCTCAAAATCGCCCAATACCGCGCCGGGATCGTCCCCGTCTCGTTTCGCAGGTAAGTATGGCCAAAACATAAATTTTATCGTCGTTTCAGTGACAAATTGTTGATGAGGTTATGTATGTTAAATAAACACGACTCTCCACAATTATGTGGTATGGATTTTTCATCGTTAAAAGATGTATTTATGATTGCAGGGTGGGATGCAGGAGGGAGGGAGGGATAAGGTTTACGATGAATGGGTTCAAATATTTCAATCTGGTACTGATAACCAACGTGGCAGGCGCTGGGGACATTGTGAGTGTGCGCATCAAGGGGTCGAAGACAGGGTGGATGAGCATGACACGTAATTGGGGTCAAAACTGGCAGTCAAACGACGTCTTAGTGGGTCAATCACTGTCGTTAAGTGTTAAAGGCAGCGATGGAAGGGTTTTGACTTCCTCCAACGTTGTTCCTTCTCATTGGCAGTTTGGTCAAACCTTCACTGCCAACAACTTCAGATTCTAATTGCTCCATTTTGGGTCTCAATTTTTCAGAAATTTATAAACTAAAGTATGTATGTATGTATGTGGGAAGTTTTAATGTTAAGTTTGTGGTAATGATGAAAGAGCTCCATCTCTACTTTACACATTACCAACTTATTTATCACTACATGATGTATTAAACTTTACTCTAAAAACTTAGTATAAGAATGTTTAGTTTTGTTCGTGTTAATTTATTATGTGTACTATTATATTGATATGAGCATGATTTCAAACCACTAATTAACGATGACCGTTGGATAACACGAAAAATGATCTGCTTAAAAAAAAAATTAAGAAATTAGAATAGATATTATGAAAATTTATGGATAAAATTTGTTCACATAAAAATGATATTAAATTTAAAGAATAAAAATTAAATTTAAGCCTAACATGTTTAACCCTAAATTAATTAATGAAAAAATATACATTTTCGGTAGTAAGTTGTATAGTAGAGTTTTTATTTAAAACAAAATATTATGCTGTATTTTATTAATAATTAAAAGTGAGTGAAAATTAAATAAAAACCAAATTAATTAATAAAAAATTAATATAAATGTCTAAAATAGAGATGTCCACGAGCGGGGACGGAAACAGAGACGGAGACGGAACGTCTTTCTTGTCCCCCTCCTCGCTACTTATTTTACTCGTATTTCCATTGAGAACTTGTGGAAATCAAATTCTCATTTTTATCCGTCTACTATTCTTTTTTTAAAAAAAAAATATTTATTTTTTTAATATACTCCTTATTAAAAAATGGAAAAAAAAAAATCCTAAATTAAAGATTAAAATGATAATAAAGCAATTAATGGTAAATTATCTACAAGGAAGGAAAGAAAAAAAAAAAAAAAAAAAA